GACTACGGAATGGAAGATCCTGGGAGATAGGGACAGTGGTTCTTTTTTTTTTTGAGTAAGTGTTCTGCATGGCACATGCAATGAGGTAGTTGCTTGAGAGATACTGCTGAATGAATACTTCCATCATATATTCAACAGACACACCCCAAAGGGTCTTTGCCCCTTTTCAAAACAGTGCTAAAGGGGAGCTCTGTTTCTGCCTCCAAATTATTTATCCCCAACCCACTCCTTGCTTCCTTCGATTACATATAGTCTCAGGTTCCACATACTTCCAAAAGTACACATAACCCAAGCTATATCTGTTGTCATGTATATGATATATATGCAGTAGGACCTCAGTCAGTAGTCACTGAGTAACTAATTGACAGGCTAAATAAGTGACAGAAAAAGATGAATGAATGAATGAATGATATAAATATTAGTCGAGTGTGCTCACGGAGATGGATATCTTCTCAGCAGATGTAAATATCTTTGTTCTGTCTCATCTTTGACTTGTATGAAATGTGTGATGTGGCCATCAAAGTCATGGCAGTTTGAACACTCATGAGCCAAGCCCATGAAGTCTTTCTAGGTGTGTATTTTTGAAAATACATGTTTTGTATCTTGGGGTGAAAGATAACCAAACGGGGAGATTGGAAAAATAATTGTTTCTGTTTCACATATAGACCCTCCCTTTGAAACTCCCTTTTGGCTCTTAGGCCAATCCCTGCTATAATTGTTGACTTACAGGGTTCTGTATTCTCCCATACAGCTCACTATACACTTTGAATAATCAATCATCACTCCCCTGTGTGCAGCTGAAACAATTATCCTGCAGAAAAGTTTACCAAGAAGAGCTCCGACCAAATGCAACTTTTTCAAATTGATGGCCTTATTATAAAAATGTCTTTATAAGGAATTTCCTAAGTACTTTACTAAAATTCAACATAAAAATACTCATAAGCCTGATATTTATGCCTATGTCTGATAACCCAGAACAAAAAGAAAGAATTTTAGAAGGTTGGCATTCAAAAGCAGGTCAGAAAAAAAGAGCCTATGTACAGGTAATCGAAATCATCTCAAAATACACTGTCCAGCTCGCGTAAGTTTTAATAAAATGGAGGGTGATCGGACGCCTGGATGGTTCAGTCGGTAGAGCCTGTGACTCTTGCTCTTGGGGTCGTGAGTTCAAGCTCCATGTTGGGCATATAGCTTACTTAAAAAAATAAATAAATATAATAAAATAGATGGTGTTCATGAACACAGAAGCAGGAGTGTTTTTATTGCTTGCAACCTTCCTTTCTGACTATTGGTTTTCATTGGCTTAATGGATCTCCTAAGGAATAAATATGAGCAGGTGCAAAGTAAAAGGAAATCTATTTATAAACTCCAAATGAGGCCATGTAATAGAAAATTGGGCCTAGAATCAAACTGGCCTAGAATATCTGAACGCAAAACAGGTGAGTCGTAGAGATTACATATAAAATCTTCATGGTCCTCTTTACACAATGGGTCAGGAAGCACTTTTTGGACACCCTACTTCTGTGCCTTAAGACTCCCCTGAAAGTTTTGGTTAATGTGAAAAACAGCATAGTCATGTAAACCCTAGAATAGCTGTTATGTGAGTATAAAACAACAAATTATCAAGCTGGAATGCTGTGCTAAAATCCAGGATTCATATGTAGAAATTAAATATAGATCTTTTCATTTTTTTTAATATTACATGTGTGTTTGTTAGTTTTGATAGGATGGAATCGTGATAATCACTCTCAAAAACAACTGGAGAATAGCCCACAGGGGTGCCTTTTCCACGGCACATGCCATGGGTCTATCAAGACTTAATACTCCATGCTGGGTACCCCCAAACTCCCTAAACTCCCAGCTTCTGAGCCTGGCAACTCCCTGTGCCTCACTTATGTCCCAGATGCAAGGGACATGCCAAAAAGGACCTGAGTCTTACCCAGTCACCCACACATGAGGCCGGTTATTTCATCATGAAGAAGCAACCCATCAGGGCTGTTTCAGGCAAGGGAAGGGGCAGTGACAGGCAAGAGGTGCTGGTGGTGGGTGCTGCTGGCGTGTTCAAGAAAACCCATTTTCTGCCTGCTAAAGACCCCCCAATGTAGGATGAATCAAATTCCACCAGCTTCAATCCAGCTACATTGTACTTGAATAATAATCCTGAAATGTACATTGATGCTGAAGAAGTCGCTTCTTCAAAACTTTAAGGCAACAATTAAGTATTCCATTGTCATGGCTCAATTAAATGGTTTGGCCTGAGAAAATTGGGGATTGTAAAGTGAGGATGGAATGTGCTTTGATCCTCTTTCCAGGGTTATTGTTTCATTAATAAATGAACATGTCATTTGTCTCACCAGAGGGAGCTCATGCCCTCCAGGCTTTTTTCCCTTTTTTGTTCAGGTTTTATAAAGATGAATTTCCAGTGCTCTGAAATACCATGGATTAGTAGTTAAGCCTGACAGCACTTCGGGGAGTAGCGAGCTTAAAGTGCCCCACACAGGTCTCCAAAGCACTTGTTTACTAATAGAGGAAATCAGCCACCGTCTGCAGCTGCTGATATCGCATTACCATTTGGAAAGACAGTAGCTGAGATAACAAATCACACAGTTTTAATAATTACTCCTGCATTCCCGTTTTTTGTTTCCTGCATAACTGTAAAGGCTGGATTTCTTCCAAATAAACAGATAAAAACAGTATGGAACTTTTATCTTTTAATGATAATGACAACACATCATGTTTCACTAAAAGTTTCCTGCTGAATTTTTTCTGATTTCTAGAGTTTCAATAAAATGTAATTATACTTTATAATGCCACTCTTTTAATCTTCACTTCAAAAACTATTCACAGTGAGCAAGTTTGCCAGGCACCAAGAGTAGGGGACAATCCACCAGGACTCACCCATGTTGACTTGCTCCGTTCCGTCTTGGGGTAAACCTGTCATTGAAATTGCATCCTGTACATTGAGCTGCTTTGCATTCAAATTAATAGCTAGTTTAATTTGAATGTAAAATAGCTCCATTTATGCCATCATTTAAAAAAAGAAGTGAGGCATTTGGCAATGAATGGATGTTTAAGATATGATACATTTGCAACATATTTTTAATCCTAAATTGAACCTATATGAGGATGGGGACATTTTAATATCAATAGATAAGTCATAAAAGAAACCCTTTTAAAAATCTGCATAGTAAATATGTGCTTTAGGGGTCAAAACTACTCCATTGTACAGATACAGTACAGGGTTTAGTTCATATGGTTGGTGCTGGGCATTTTCCGGCAAATCTGTGTATTGTTACATTTCTATAGTCCAAGAATGGCAATTGATTTTTAAAACACATGCTGCAACTTTATTTGCTCAGTAATTACATGGACTTTATTTGGAGGTCAGTGAGAGAACAACTAAATAGGAAAATGAAGTCTTCCTCCCTTGTGCCATGAAACCATAAAAGTTGGCAGACAGAAAGGAATGCTAAACTTTTTCCCAGAGCTCTGAGTTTGGTTTCCACTGGTCCATGTTCCAGTGGGTGATTAGAGAAAGCTTTTTTAAAGCCTTACTTCAGAATGATCTTAATTGGTGCAAGGTTGAGCCCTTTCTAGGAGGGGAGGGAAAAGGTTGAATAGCCTTTTCAAGTCACATGAAAGTTTCTAGGATGAATGTACGATAATTAGATTAATAAGTAGCTTAATTTATCACAGCTGAGGATTTCAACAGCCACACATTAGAGCAAGAAAAAAAGATTAGTGTGATTCTAGTTTGAAAAAAAAAAATTGTACTGAAACTTGATTAACCTTAAACACAAAGTGCCTTTCTTCCTCAGTCTAAATGTCTGATGGGGGGGAGGGGGTGTGGCGTGGGGAAGTGGAGAGAGCTCCTGAAATAATCAGGAAAGTCCTATTTTATTCCTTTCTGTCTCCCAGTTAATGAGCAGTATCAGGATTGCTTGAACCAACTTTTCCCTTTACCGCTCCTTAGCCTTCAAATAATGGGTTGGGCATAAGCCTGTAGAATCCTAAATTACGTTGCCCACCCACATCATAGAGATATACCTTCTCCGATGCGCAATTTGTCATAAGCTGATTCTCTTGTCACAGCTGAAAAAAGAAGTCATGTGGTTGGGAGGAGAATAGGATTTGGAGGAGGCCATAATTCCAGTTAGTATGTGGTGGGAACAGCGAGACTCAGATTGTTGGATGGTATTTCCAAGAGTTACCTCAGGCCTTTAAAGCCTGGATCTAGTCCCATGCCTTCAAAACGCATAGGTTACCCAAGCAAGGGGCAGCAATGAGTTAAAGTAAGCAGTATTCATTGATAAACCATGCTGAATCAAGACAATTATTATAAAAGCAAGATTAATTGACTCACAGGGGGTTAAAAGATGAGTCGGAAACGGACGCTCAAAAAAATACGAACCAAATCAAGCTCTTGTCCATTGGGAGTCTTTCCCCCATCTTCTCCACATATGCACAATAAAATATTTTGATAAAAAAGAATCTGCTGGACCATCTGATGGTCATATCCAACAGGGGCGGGCTAACGTCAGATTGGATTAACCTTAAAATTTTCCTGACTCCTGCCTGGCTACAAACGAAACTTCAGCGCCGTGTGGCACAAAGCCGCTGGTTTCAGCGTCAGTTTCTCAATGGAAGAGCCTGGAGGGTGAATCTCTGGCACCTGTCAACACTCAACAGTCATGGTGGTTGGGAGCCCAGCTAATGCGAGCCCAGCAGTGGACTGGTGCATGGGGCATTGTCCCTGTGGTTGCGTGACAAAGGTGTGTGGCTGGATGTGGGTAGGCACTTGTGACACCCTCCAACTGGAAGAGAAAAATACCAAGCTAAAATACCAGACAACTGCAGGAATTGCACTACCTCTAGCACAACAAAAATGGCTGTGACTTTCTCTTCAGTCTCTGAAGCTTACATAATGGAGTCCTGAAAGAGGTGCAGGTGTAGAATAGCCGGGCGGGCATATGGCCCCAGCTAGGATATCGGAAAGTTACCTGTGGCCCAGCCGGATCAACATGGCCGTTGCCAAGAACACGCAAGCACCGGTGGTGTGGGAAGTTCAATAATTGGAGCCAGAGCCCGAGGTGAGTCTGTCTCCACTGGGGGTCTTCTCTCAGAGCACGAGTCTTCTTTTCTGCTGGGATGAAAGAGAAGCTCTATTTATTCAGTTTTTAATTATACAATGAAAAACGATATCACATTATCCCATTATAGATGGAATATGGTCTAAAATAGTGACGTTTAAAGCACCAATGTAATTATGGACTCTGAACACTTGGAAACCCAAGGCACAGCTCAACCAGCAGCCTGAATCTGAAAGTGCTTATATCTAAAATGGATATCTCATTACTGGTTAACATTATTTAGTTAGGAGGGGATATGACCTCTAATTTGCCTTTAAATGATTAATTTGGTGTTTAAATAAGTGTCTTTTATTTAATAATGTTTTCTTCCACCAATTCACTTATGTCAATAAACTCTTTGTTTAACCTTCTTAAAGGAAACATTTTCTCTGCTCAGAGGCAATTAATGAGCGATCAAATAAATAGGTGCAGGAAAATGAACTAAAATTAAGGGCTGCCCAGGACAGCAAATGTGCTTTACTCTATGGCGTGGATATTGTATGTTACTGTCCCAGCTGTGACACAGGAAGTGCATCAGTTCAGCCCCAGTCCTCCCAGTGGAATCCGAAGCCACTCACATCATAGAACCTGCCAAGATGGGAACACCCCATACACAGAGGCATTCTCTTTTGACTGCTCGTTCTTCAAGTTTGGTAAAAATGACTCTCAGTCTTCAACTAAGGAATGGGTTGTTACTTTTTAATGGGAAATTAAGGGGGAAGGAAAATATATACAACGTTAATGTCAAATACTCGTGTGGCTAACGTTAATATTAATATCAGAGTGTCAAATAGTACCTTTTGCAGTCTTTTTTTTTTTTTTTTAATTTTTTTTTTTCAACATTTATTTATTTTTTGGGACAGAGAGAGACAGAGCATGAACGGGGGAGGGGCAGAGATAGAGGGAGACACAGAATCGGATACAGGCTCCAGGCTCTGAGCCGTCAGCCCAGAGCCCGACGCGGGGCTCGAACTCACGGAGCCGCGAGATCGTGACCTGGCTGAAGTCGGACGTTTAACCGACTACGCCACCCAGGCGCCCCTTAAGGACATAAAAGTATATCACGGATTACTTACTTTATCTTTTCCTAGGTAATTTGTTTGTTTGTTTGTTTGTTTTTAATTTTTTTTTAACGTTTATTTATTTTTGAGACAGGGAGAGACAGAGCATGAACAGGGGAAGGTCAGAGAGAGAGGGAGACACAGAATCTAAAGCAGGCTCCAGGCTCTGAGCTGTCAGCACAGAGCCCGACGCGGGGCTCGAACTCACGGACCGCGAGATCATGACCTGAGCCGAAGTCGGCCGCCTAACCGACTGAGCCACCCAGGCGCCCCGGTAATTTGTTTTAAAATAAAGTTTTTCTCCATAGTTATCTATGGAATCAGAATGGATTTTGCTTTTTGTGTTATTACTTAAGAGTTATAAGCTGTCAAATTTTACTTAGCTTTCTATGGTATGTGAAAAATTTTTTTTAACAATTTTAATTCTTTAAAAATCCAACATTATTTAAAATTTGGATGCCTTCTGGTGGGGGGGGGGGGGTCTGGGTGGCTCGGTGGGTTAAGTAGCTGACTTCAGCTGAGATCATGATCTCCCAGTATGGGAGTTCTCCCAGTATGTGAGTTCCAGCCCTGCGTCGGGCTCTGGGCTGACAGCTCGGACCCTGGATTCTGCTTCTGATTCTGTGTCTCCCTCTCTCTCTGACCCTCCCCCGTTCATGCTCTGTCTCTCTCTGTCTCAAAAATAAATAAATGTTAAAAAAAAAAAAAAAAAAAACATAGGCAAAATAAATCCAAACTTAGTGCCATGTTGAACCAGTCAGTAAGTCTTCCTCCCATGCCACCTCTGTCACTGTTTCTGCTTTTTAAGCTACTCTCCTCTAAAAGATACTTTGATTTGAGATTTCATTCAAAACCTTTTGAATGGCTCTCCATTGCCTTCCTCAAGAAGGACAGTCCCTTACTAGACCTTCAACACTCTGTGATTTTTCCAGCCTCAGCTACTCACATTATTTCCTACCCATATCTCCCCACCTTCTCTGGTCATACTAGAGAGTTGCACTTTGGGGGCCACTCCCGTCCTTCCTCTCTGCCAGTTCAAGTTTTATCCACCATGTTGTTAAAAACCAAGAAGAGGGGCACCTGGGTGGCTCAGTCAGGTAAGACTCTGATCTGACTTGATTTCAGCTCAGGTCACAATCTCCGGGTGGTGAGATTGAACCCTGCGTCAGGCTCTTTGCTAAGAGTGGGGCCTGCTTAAGATTTCTCTCTCTCTCTCTCTCTCTCTGCCCCTCTCCCCCGCTCTTACACTTTCTCTCAAATAATAACTAAATAGATAAATAAACTTAAAATACTTTTTTTAAAAGAGTCGTATAAAAACTTGAGAACCTTGGAGTCACACGGGCCTCACTGAAGCCATGAGGTGCACGTAGGACACCCTGACTTTCCCTGCAGCACTTCTCACAGTTTGCTATCGTACATCTGATCACCGTCTGCCTCCCCTGGAAGTCCACAAGTTCCACATGGGCAGGGAGGATGACTGTTTGTCTCACTATTCTGTCTCCAGGAGTAGCAGGGCGACTGGCACTTGGTAGACAGATGATAAATATTTGTTGAGTGAGTGAACAAACATCTCTGAATCTGTTTTCGCGGCTATTAAATGAGGCTAGCGATAACTAACTCACAGGTTGTTGCTAGAAGTAAATGAGAAAGTAAAATGGGGTAACGCGTGTCCAACAATTGGCACATGGTACATAGTGAAGGGGAAGCAATATCGTGCAGTGACTGGTGGCGCAAATTCTGGAGAGAGACCTCCGTGGGTATGGCTACAGCCAGGCACTTGTAGCATGGCACCGGTTAAGCTATTTATCTTTTGTAGTTCTCCGTCTCTTCCTCTACAAAGCTGACATAAAATGTACCTCGTATTTTTGTTGAATGCAATACATTTGATCACCTATGTGCTGACCACAGTGAGTGTTCCATAACTGGCATTCAGCAATAGTACCTAGTGCCGTCCATCATTCATCTAATTGTTCGTTTATTTACTCAACAGATTTTTATTGATCGCATACTACGTACCAGGCCCTGGGCTTTGTGCTGGGAATACAATGGGGAGCAAATCAGAGTGGACCATGGGGCCCACCCCATGAAATCAATAGCTTGGTGAGATGGATCATTAAATAAATAAACATGCAAGTAGCTGCTGAAGAAGAAAACGGGTGCCATGAAAGGGAGCAACAAAGGACGGGGAATTAGAGAAGTAGCGATTCTTCAGGATCCAGCTCACATGGTCTCAGCTCCATGAAACCTACCTTTGCCCTTCCCCATTCTCTCCCAACTATATGGTCTTTCTCCTTCATCCAAACCCCATGCCACATTATAGTTGTATTATGATATTTGTTTCTTTTTACTCATAAGCTCATAAGTGTAGCTAATAATGACAGCTATTGCTAGTCTAATTTAAGCCCCTGTCTAATCCTTACCAGCTGGACTAGAAACTTCTTGAAGGTAAAGTCTGTTTTACCTGCCTGCCTCTGCTGCGCCTGTGGAATCTAAAGAGTTCCAGGCATAAACTAAGGGCTCCAGGAATTGTAGAATAGAACTATCTTGTACTCTCTTCTTTGACTTCCAAATATGAAAAATTTACCCTATTTCAAAAGATTCTGTCTAATCTTCACACTATTTCATTCATGAACTTTTATACGTTAATTTCTTTCACATATTATAGATGACAAATAAATCAGAAACAAGTTACAATGGAATTTTAATCATGAAAAAGCTTTAGTATCTTATAGCAAGAGGGACATTCTTAGAAGAATCCCAGACTGAAATCCCTTGGCCAACCCCTGAAGATACTCTGGTTTCTGCAATCTGAAAGTATCTTCCCAGTATAAAATTCTGCTGCTGCCTGTCCCAGGATCTTTTCAAAAAGAGCAGTCATCATTACTTAAAACAGAAAGCATAGGAATGGCTCTTTCTGGCAGCATAATCTCTTTACTGAAGGGAAAACATTTACATTACACTCAGACTGACAGTAAATAATACAGAAAAGAACATTTATCACCTCACACAACCAAAAAATCCACACAACCAACATCCAGGGATGTTGTAGATGAGGCTTGATCTGATACCTCAAGGATATCCAAAAGATCTGGCGAGTTCTTTCCAGCAATTCATGTCAGCTTCATCCAAGACTAGCTCCACGCCTACTCCCAAAATGGCTGCTCATAGTTTCTGGAGCCATATGCCTTCTTTTTTTGTGTCAGGGAGAGCAACTTTGTTCTAGCATTCCCAGAAAACCCTCTATAGCCACTGTATGGTCGGCTCAGTTCACATGTTGACCCTTGCTTCCACTGCTGCAGTCAAGAAGATAGAATGCGGTGATTGGCTTGGCCTACTCTAGGATGCAGTGAGGTAGGCTTTCATAAAATTACATAGACCCCCAAAGGAAACTAGAGACTATTGAGAAGAGTAAAGGATGAAACTGATGCTGACAAAGCATCTAACAAACATTGACTCTGTGAGATCTTGGTCAGACTTGGTCTATGAAGCTCAGGAGGATAGGGCCACTCGTTCATATCAGCAAGAGCAAAAGAAAAAGGTATGGACTTCTTCCTTCCCTTCTGAAAATGGCATTATATTCTGGGCGGACCTTGGGTGGGGGCAGGAATGAGCTTGGCTTTTGTATTTGTTCTGCTCAGGGGTAAATGTTATGATCTAATACAGTAAATACTTTTATTTTTTTAATTTATTTTTAAGTAATCTCTACACCCAATGTGAGACTCGAACTCATGACCCTGAGATCAAGAGTCGCATGCTCTACTGACTGAGCCAGCCAAGTGCCCCTAATATAGTCAGTACTTTTAAATAAAATTATTCCTATTCTGAATTTTTGAAATCATTATTAAGTGAAGGCCAAGTAACAATATACACTCCCTTAAGTTATTAAATTTCCTAGTAGAAATGTTGACATTTTACCTCATCTTCAAGGAAAAATAACTTGAGAGAACTTT